TTGGTAACAGCCTACAAGATCTTTATAAAAAGTGAGCTGTGCTCTGACCTGAAGAAGTTATAATCTAAACTCAGTGCAAGATGATGGACACAGACAGGTGAGATGGCTCCATAGTTTTACATGGATTAGTATGCAAATATTCTATTAAAGAGTTATATAAACATATCTTACCACATGTATATCCACTATTATCACAATATAGAGGTGTCAAAAACTCTGATGTATTTCATTTTCCAGCACCAACGGGAAGGAGGGAAATACATAAAGAAAGCATTGCCTAGCATTACTCAAGAGATTCAAGACAGAACTGAATCCATCAAGGGTCAAAGCCTGACTATTTAGAGTTAGCTTGATTAAATTCTATAAATAAACTTAAATCAACTCTACAAAGTACAATTTTTTCCCCTCTGCAAATCTTAACATTCCTTAAACCTCTGTGTGTGTCACTGCACATATATCAGTTCTTTGGGATTCTTCCACTCTTCTCTACAGTCAATTTTAAAATGCTCATCAGAAATTCTTCAAATGCTGTCGCTTTTACTTTTTACCAAAGGCTAAAACTTCATTTTGATCTGATGTTAAAGTTACGAGTCCTAAGCCTTGGGCTCACCTTTCCTTACATATACTGATGAAGTCCCATTTCTTTCAGTCTTTCAAAAAACGCATTTTCTTAAGAGAGAATGATTTTCCTACCTCATGCCTTTTTTCTACAGAAGAAGCTTAACAGCTTATTCTAAAATTACCGTCTAGAGTTAGAAAGAAAACTGTACAAAAACTTGCTATGTAAGCAAGCAGATACCAGGCATGCATGGTTTGGGTCGCTGGGAAGATGTGTGTAGCTGGAGTACAACATGCGCTAATCCTACTTGGCTGGTGTGAAGCAAAATTTCACATGCAAAGCATGGGTTTTCTAGAGGAAGCATACTGGATATATGTGCTTGCACACACAAAGTTTGCTATGTTGGGGAGCAATTCCCTGAACACAAAGGCTGTCTGTGGGGAAATGGAAGAGTACTCACAACAAAAATCTAAGGGAATTCTCTTAATATGTGAAATTGTTGTTTAAAGAGCTGGCTATCTGTTAAGTTCAAAAGCATTCCTTTAAGGCTACAAGTACCTTACACAAAAATGGAGATGTATCCTTAGGCTAGTAAGCATCTGCTTTCTGACAAATGCTGGCGTATTTTCAGTGTCACTGACCAGGACAAACACCTTTTGTTAAGTTTTGCCTGCTACAATACATGGGACTCCTTCCTCACAACAGGCAGATGTTACACCATTCCCACTGTGAGTCCTCAGCCTGCTGCTGAGTAGAAATAGTTAATGATTAAGACAATTGTTCTGAGGAAGAAGGGGACTGTAAGAGCAGATTCAGTAATGCACTTGCCTTTATGCTACAAAGTTAAGTTTCCTTATAGCCTAGAGTGAAGGTGCAAAACATTTTTCAAATTGTTAGTACCACTGCTAACTTGAACAAGTGGGTGTAACTGCCCATCCCTGATTCTTCTTGTGCATCTGTATAGCAGATTAAAGACCCTTTTAGATTTGGTTTTCAGCCTGTAGCTCCCTCTCAGCCTCCCTTTTCTAGAAAATCTGTTATTGTAGTAAGACACTACAGCGAAGCAAACTAAATAGAACAGCATTCCACTAGGAGATAGAAACCTTAGCTTTAACTTACTTTGTTCATGACAACAATGAAAGGTAGCTTTGTCTTGTACAGGATACTGGAGGTGGGGGGGAACAAAAAAAAACCACAAAAAAAAAGAAACATTAATTTAAATCTCACTAGAATATAAAACACGTTATGCGTAAGGCTGACTTGTGCAAAACTGAATACATTTGACTTCAAAAGATAATGATTTTCCCCTGCATCAGTTAGAATGTAATGTTCACCCAGATCCTGTTTACCTTAGTTAAACAAAATATGCCCCCTCCAAGATGTAAGCACACAACTGTAAGATATAAAATCTCCTTCTACACACCCAGCTGATTTTGACTACTATTTCTATGACTCTCAGATCCCAATTTTTAACTCTCTTTGCATTTGCTAGTTATTTTGACTCAAACCTTAGGTTATATTATCTGTGAACGGAGCAATGAATTCAAATAATTCAATACATCTATAAAGCAAAACTACCTTGAAACATGAGTTCGCATATTAGTTTCACTTTTGCTCCACACTAACGCCAGAAAATGCAGCATGTGATAAGACACATTTTGCATACTCCTATCACAGCGATACAGCTCTTGACGCTGGTACAAGGATTGATAGGTTTTTTTGAAAACCTTTTACCAGCATTTGCCATGAATTATGACAGCTCTAGATACGTTGATCTTTACCTAGGTATTTAGTCCCTGGTTTAACATGAAATAAAACAGATAAATCCACGTACGAGGAGGAAGACAATAAATCAAGAACTCCACGCTATGTTGAGCTCCAAACAGATCTTGAAGAATCACTGAAAGTATTGATAATATTAAAAAAATAGAATAAAATATTATGTGTTTATAAGAAGGAGCTTAAGCTAGGCTATCTTGATACATCTGAGATAAATCATTTTATAAGCAACAGGCAATGTGTTAGATCTGATGTAACTAGCCTTTATCACACTAAGGTCTCATGGATTATTTAATGCTTTCAGTGGGAGTTTTGACCCAATGACCTCCAGATGCCCACTGGCACCTAAATTACTTTGCTTATCCAATGGGAAAACCACTAAGAGAATAACCAAAACAGCAGGTTAAGTGGATGTGATGTGCATATCCATGTGCACTTGCAGCCCAGAAAGCCAACTGTATCCTGGGCTGCATCCCCAGCAGCATGGCCAGCGGGGCAGGGGAGGGCATTCTCCCCCTTGACTTCACTCCTGTGAGACCCCACCTGGAGCCCTGCATCCAGCTTTTCTTACCTGCAGGCATACAGCATGTTGGACATAAAGGTGATAGGGTTAGTACTGCGAGAGGTGTCCATCACATAAACAACAACTGAAGGAAAAGAAGAAGCCTGGAAACACAAAGTAAGAGACATGTGAATTAGAAGTACATGCTGTTCAACAGCCACATCTTTCACCCAGCCTCACTGTCAAGTCACGTAGAAACCACTTACCAAGGCCTCAGTTATGATGGTTCCTGATGCTGACCAGGTGAATACCTCAATTTGCCCTGGTGTGTCAATAATAACATACCTGTTAATAAATCACCACAACAAACAATAAGGGAAAATTAGTTAAGCACAAGGCCCTGTTCTCACTAGATTACCACAAGCACGTAACAGCAAATCACATGATTATTCTGTTACATATCAGAGAAGCTTCTCCCAAACAGTGACAAGATTTATGGGCATGCATGAAAATTTCCTGTGTGAATTTTGTAACTAAGCAGCACGTACTCTCTTCAGATTCTATTAAAGTTGAAGGCATCAATTTGACAGGCAATCAGTACCGCAAGCTCTTCAGAAGAAGAATTAATTGTTGCCTGTTTGAACAGTGCATGAGAAAAAATGACAGTCTAATGGAAGACAAGAAAAGCAGAACTGGAATCAGCAGGCATTTCTTCAACTTATCTGAAGAAAGTCTAGTTTATCTGTTCTAATTCTATGCCCGTTTCCACATAAAATTTATACCAAGACTGAAAAACAACTAGAAAACATGCAGAGAACCTTTTTAAGCTTTCACGTGGTTTTCCCACCCTGATCCCAGAAAATAGAACTTTGTAGAATGTACTCACTTGGATGCATTTTGTCTTTTTTCAATAAACTTCATCACCTGATTGAAAAAGGAGGAGTATACTTTGTATTTAGGCTCACAACAGGAAACTTTCACAATGATTTCCTAACAGAAGCTACGATACCTTGCACAGCTGCATGTATGTATCAAAAGCAGACTGAAGTCTCTAAGCTTTTCAGTGTGTGAAAATGCCCTACTAAAGATGGGTGGAAAACGCTCAGACACTGCACAGGTCAGAGACAACCTTGATTTTGTCTGTGTTCTAGTACCTGGCTAAAGAAACGGTGTAACAAATGCAGCTGTTCCCCACCTTTTTATGAAGACGTATTTTACTTTCTTACTGTCTCAATATCTTGCATAAGTTCCCACCCCAGCGCTGATTTAGCATTATGATTTAAGAGAGCAGTCAATTATCAAATAACCCTAGGAAAACTTATCCCGTTTCCAGAAGCGAGCTTCCCTACTTCAAAAATCAAAGCATTCATATGAAAGATTTTATAGTGAACGTAGAACAACAGAACAAGTATGTACAAAGACTAAAAAACGCTCTGTACACATGGCTTCTGAATTTTACAGTAAAAAAACCTGAAATCTCTCAAATAAAGCTTTGGCTGCTTTGTAAAATACATGGTTCTGCATGGAGAAGACTCTAACGCCACAGAAATATCAGGAGGCTAACCGAACACAGTGTGCTCTGAGACTCTAAATACACAACACCCCCCCTCCAGTCTCCAGCAAGCGTTTGTAGCAGAGTATCACACAGGAACTGCCGCATACCTGATCAAATCTTGTAGCAAAGAGATTGAGAGAGGTCACTATTCCACCATTTGGGCCCAGCCCATATCTAGACGCTTCATTTAGGAAAGCAGACGATTATGCAGACCTCAGAGGGCTTCTTTTTCAATTCTGATAATAGCTGGCCATGTACAATGCACATTGGATACCTTGCAGCAAAAGACAATACCCCTAATACACAATGAAGTGGTGTAGTAGCATAACAAATACAAAGCGTTCTCTCTCTTGCCCAAACATGTGTGACTGACAAGAGGAAAAGGGGCTATGCGTGGGTTCCCCTTGCCATTATTCAAGCATCACCATTCTGGACAAAGAGAAAATATAGGTACGTTTATACATCAAAGCCATCTTTGTCTCTCCTAAAAAGACTTACAACACAGCCAGTAACTCAGAATTTAACAATGCCCTGAATGCACTTAATTTTAAGAATTTATACCTCAAAAGATAATTAAAGTATTTCTTGCACAAGTAATTTTTAGCAGCATTTAAATGATAATAGGAATGAACGTTGTAAAGATACTCAAAGTGTCAGCTTAAGGATGGATTCCAAAATCCTTTTTTATGCATACAGATCTGTATACTAATTACGTTCAAAGAAACAAACAATCTTTTTTTTTTTCTTTTAACTGAGTAAGAATCAGCACTGATTCATAAGTACATACTGTATTCTAGGGCCACTACTCTCAATATGGAAACACAGGGCCAGACACCCTCCTTAAGCACTATATAATGAGATGCTTAAACTCCAGTAATGGCTGACAGACACAGTAAAGCAAATAATGCACCTACATACCAAACCGAAACTTGTATTTGGATGTTTTGCTAGTAAGTCCAAATCAAAGGACCTCCATACCCCTCTGGAAGTGCAGTCATTTTAGTGTAATGTTACTGAATTACAGTCATCAAACTACCGTGCAGCAAGAGCCAACAGTCCATTGTCTTCTGAGATTCAGTGCTTTGATTATGGTCAAACAATGTGGAAATAAGTTTTCTCCACCTACTACAGGCAAATAGGGATTTGCATATTGGTTTATAACAAATAAAATTAGACTTATTAAAACATGGGGAAAAGGCTGCTGGCTTCCACAAAGAAAGACACAAGCTCTTCAAAAGAACAGGGGAAAAAAAAGATGCGGCAGAGTGCCTATTATTTGTAAAAACACACTATTAGGCATAATCACTTTTAGCACAGGAGAAAATTACCTAAGGAGTATCAGATCTTGTAGAACATATGTCTGTGACCTTGCATGCAAGAAATACATAGTCAAAAACTTCTGATCTTCATGCAACATTCTGCATTACTGCAGTCCCCAACACCTCCTGCCCCCTTCACTGTACTGTGCAGAAGTGACAGACTATTTTCACAACATGAGATTTCAAATATCATTATTCAGACAAAAAAAGGATACTGTTTCATGACTTCTTTGTACTTCACTGTGTCCCTGATATCTAGAGGAGGAAGATGTACAAACAGGTTTAGGACATCACTTTTAAAATATCCTTCGTCATCAATTTGCTGATAGAATCATAGAATGGTTTGGGTTGGCAAAGCCCTTGAAGCTCCCCCAGCCCAACCGTTCCCCTA